ATTATGCCTTAGAATCAAAGATAAAAAAAATATCTCTCAGGTTCTCTAAATAACTCTTCAGAAAAAAAAAAAGAAAGTTGGAGAAGCGGATTATGTTGAAGAAATGGGAAAGTATGAATCATGCTGGTGCTGTAATTCTTTCCTTGGTCATAATTAAATGGGGGGTTTGTTGGTGGCTGTGGGCTCTTCTCAATAAAAAGAATTATTAATACAAGTAGACCTCAACTTAGAACCATTTGCTTAATGACTATTCAAAGTTACAATGGCACTGAAAAAAGTGACTTAAATTGGTCCTTGCACTTGCAACAGGTACAACATTGTGTAGTCACATGATCACAATTTGGACACTTGGCAACCTGCATGTATTTACAATGTCCCAGGGTCCCATAATCACCATTTGTGGCCTTCTCAGCTACCTTCTGACAAGCAAAGTCAATGGGGGAAGCTGGATTCACTTAACAGTCATGTGATTCACTTAATGGCCAAACTGATTCAATTTAATGACCATGGCAAAAAAGTTGTAAAATCAAGTGCAACTCATTTAATGACTGCATTGCTTAGCAATGGAAGTTCCAGACCCAATTGTGGTCGTAGGTTGAGGACTCCATGTATGTAGGGTTTCAGCTGAGATTTTAATTGAGCAGTATCATCAGTTAATTCAACTTTTTTGAAAAAGAATTTGCTTAGATGCCCGATGTTCCTGGATTCCCTTGGAGGAAAGTATGGTTGTCAGTCAAAGATGTCTACATTGGAATAAGAGATGTGTAGAACTGTGAGTTTAACATTACACTCAGGATCTTCCATTGAGTTAAACTGGACACACTTTTTAGGAAGTGGACTAAGATTTTAATTGTGGCTTTAATGGCATGCCCTAATAACAATTATGAATTAATGAAACGTGTACAAATGCAAGCATTCCTCCCTGAGTTCTAAGATGCAGCTTTAATTCAGAGAGTGTGACCCAGATGTAAAGAGCCTCATCCTATGTAAAATAACATGTAAAGAGCCACAATGTCCTATGAGGGCTCACAACACAATCTTTCCATCAAGGATTCCTCAGCTAACTTTCTGAGGGATGCCACAGATTTCTGGAGCTTAAAATGAGATGCCAACAGTATAGACAATGGGCTGTTTCCATAGTGTTCAGAAACTGACTGTGAGATCTCAAGAAAGATGGATGAAAGCCAAGGAAAGCACAACAAAGTGAAAGAAAGCTGTGGAAAAATCAGTCAGGATGGCCGGAGCATGAGAAAGGTTAGCACAATTTGCAGCAATGCCTCCTTCCCAGACCAAGGCAGAATGAGGAAAGAGTGTTCTTGCTTCCTATAGAAACTACCATGTTTTCCTGAAAATAAGACTGGCTATTATATTTATTTTTGGTCCAAAAGACACATTAGGGCTTATTCTCAGGGGATTTTATTTTTCCGGGAAGCGGTGAGTGCATGGGGGCTGAAGGTGTCCAGCAGCAGCCGCAGCCCGCCAGTCCCTTGGCTGGCTCACTCGTGCTGTGAAGCCTGCATAGCACAGGTGAGTGGGAGCTACCATTGCAAGGTGATGTGGGTGGTGGGGGGCTTGTGCCCCACACCTGCGCTTGCCTGCGGCCTCAACGTCTTACAGGGCTTCCCAGGGCAGATGCTCGGGAGGTGGTGGCAGTGCCAGTGGAATGCACCCTTCAGGTGAGGAGAGCAGCGCGGACAGCCAAAGGACTGGGCGGTGCACCCCTCCCCTGCTCTGTGCGTCTTTGGCAGGTGTCTGGCAGGTGGAGGGAGGTGGTTGCCCATGTCCAGCGGCAAGGTGAAGCAAGGCAGGTGGCCGGTGTGTGTGTGTGTGGAGTTGCCCCATGTGCCCCACACCCGTGCACTTCAGGGCCCCCGCAGCCAGGCCATTCCCCACTCAGTGACCTCACCCCACCTGTTCAATGACCCGGCTGCCCACCCCTCTTCCCTTTCACTCCCTCCCGAGCTGGACTGCCATGCTACACAGGATGGGCAGGGGAGGCTCGGTCCCCTTACCCGGTCCCCCTCTGCTGTTTCGGAGCCAGGGGGGAGTGACGGTGAAAGGCCTCCGCCACTGCTGCATGGCAGTTCTGAGGTGTGTGGGTGTGGGACAGCTCACACTCCACCACCTGTCTCACCTCACCTCGTGGAGGTGGCACCAGTGCGGTGCATGGCCTCCTGCCCCATTGCAGCAGGAAGCAACCAGATGGTTGGACAGAGTGGGTGTACTCTTAGGACTTATTTTTGGAGTAGGGCTTATATTAGGTGCACACTAAAAATCATGCTAGGACTTATTTTCTGAATGGGTCTTATTTTGGGGGAAATATGATAATGCCAGAGGATTTTCTAGCTCTGCCCCTGAATAGGAAAATGCCGTCCTGGAAAATTGCTAGTTCATTTTTTTCCTAACTTCCGAAGAGGTTAGTACTGCATAGTTCTATTTTGGCAGCAAAAAGAAAAAATCCCTCTTCTGTAGGCAGTGTGGTATTGCAGGATACTGTTTTAACAACCTATAACAGCAACAGAGAATATACAGGAGCTCGCTTGCAGACGTTTCATTACCCAAACTAGGTAACATCATCAGTGCATTATCAGTTTGTGTAATGAAACATCTGCAAGAACACAAACAAGCTCAGAGAGCACGGAGGACCCCTTATTTCAACCCTGAACTGAAAACATTCTCCTTTATTGATACAGGAGCTATTCTGGAGAATGTGTTAAGAGCAGAACATGCTGAGGGCAGAATTCACTCTTCTGGGACTGAGGAACAGGAAGACTAGTAACAATCAATATTAGTTTGAGATGAAGGTGAAAAAAGTCACTCATGCATCCTGTATTTCACTTTTTTTTTAAATAACCTTATGACCTCTCTTGGAATCAAATGCTGTTTTGTGTCAGAGGTAGATAAACTTGGAATTGGGAAAGCGATGGCAGAAATGTTTGCATATTGATGGCACAAGTAAGTGCATGCTACGTTTTTAAAGGAGGGGAAAACAGAAAACACAGCGGCGGATTTCCGCACAGGCGCAGGAGGCGCGCGCCTGGGGCCTCCACATTTCAGGGGCCTCCACGGCGGTGATCAGATCAGGCGCCCGATTCCTAGGTTTGCTGACCTCCCTCCCTCCCCAGACCCCGCACGAAATTTCCTCCTCCATCAGCCTCGGCTACCGACGACGCTCGGCCTCACCCTGAAATCAGCGCCCAGCTCTCGGTCGGAGATGGCCGTGGATGCTGCCCGGATCTCAACGCCTTAAAAACGAAGGCGGCTGCCTCCCAGGGACGCGGCGAAAGGCCCCCGCGCCGTCGGTTCCCCCGTGGCCCTCCTGGGGCAGACGGGCCGGCCAGCCGCTTCTCCGAAGAGGAAGCGGGTGGTCCCGTCTGCTTTTGGGTCTGGGAAAGACCGATGGGCTGCGGAGAGG